TCTCACGATTTGTAAATTAAATCTCTATTTCTTTCGTCTACACACATTTGCTAAGCATTTTGATGAAAAGTGAAATTTTCGCATGAAATAATCGTATCAAGACAATGGCCTTTAAGAGCGTCGTCAGGTATTCAGACAGTCTTTAGTTTTTTTTGTGAATGAAAAAATTTAAAATGTAGATCATTTCTTGCTAAAAACTCCATGAACCGTAACTGTGTTTGACTTCTTTCAATATGGCAATTCAGACTTTCATTCTTGCTGCGCTGTTGAGCTCTTAAAACTGCATGAAATTGAAAATATTTTAATTTTGGATATCACTTTCATGAAATCACAGTATTTTTGGGTATGAAATTATTATTTTTATTACTGTGGGGTTCTTTCATAAATGAGGTCTATGAAACAATGAAGGGGTTTTGATCTCATTAATTTACTCGATGGTATTATCTTAATTGTATGTGGTGTTATAGAGCTCCAGACTCTCAACCATCTTTTAGGTCATTCATTAATGACGTAAATATTTTTAAGCGTGTTTCATTAGATATGTCTGAAGGCTTATGACCCTTTTATATGCTCCATAAATGTTAATTTCTCTTATTGCGGGTTGAGGACACTCCACTAGTGTCGTAGTGTCATTCGCTAGTGTCATTCAACTTTCAATAGTGCTTGAATCCTTTGTGATCTCAAAGACTCGTTCTACTGCTTTAATTATGATTAGACAGCAGTAATATAGCATAAAAGGGGAATTGAAAGCCTCAGCGCAAACGTCATGATAAAAAAGACTCGAAAAATTAGATCCGTGGCATAGAATGTGTTCTTAAACATAAATTAAAAATTTTGTTCTTAGCTTGATGCACAAAACACGTCCTGCGCCACTCCAAAAGTACGTTAAAGTCCAATAGTTTAGTAGACATCATTTACGAATGACTCCAGTTGAATTTGACTGTAAATATTTTACCGGCAAAACAATTTATTCACCTAAAGATTACCCTCGCATCTTATTATGTGTCTCGCTTCTTATTTCAATTTTCTTCGTCTGTTGCTAGTTCTTCCTATCGTTCCATTTCACATCCTTCGTTGAATTTAACAAACCATGAAATATATCACAGTGAATAATATGAGTATATGCCTCATTATTAACGTATATGTTTCTTGAAATGATAGAAATGCTGAGTAGTGAATTTTTATATCATAAACGTAATTTCTTTTTATGTAGCAACGTGAAGTCATTATTCTGCAAAAATTAAGTCAAGAACTTTTTTTTTTCTTTCATACGATATGGCCTATAATCCTAGCATGAGTGAACTTTGGCGAAACTTAGCTGAACCGTGAGGTTGAAAAGCATAAAACATGAAGATTTTCTGTAAGATTCTTGCTTTTTTTTTGCGGAATCAGCTTGTTGAATAAGAAAATTATTCTTATAAATTCTATTAAGAATTATTTAATGGAACTGTTTAGGAATGTTTGTACTTAATATTCCTTGTTATAACGGACAGTGAGGTTGTTTTTGTGCTAATCGTATAGCTTGAGTTATAAATCACCTTTGCAGTTAGCAAAAAAGTGTGAATTTGCACTCAACTATGTTAATGCTTAAATCTTCTTAGAAACAACATTGAACTTAATCACTTTTATGAACTTTCTAACCTCTTCATCAGGTCATAGCACTGCAAAGAAGTTTGAAGCTTAAATCTTCAATATTTTCTCAAAACATTATCCAATTATTTTATAAAATAATCCAAAATTTACAATAGAAATGACGCTAATTAAACCAAACATTGAATCATGTTAATCAACAGAAAAAACAATGTGTCACGAAATAATTGTTGATGTTTGTAGATATTTTGTTTACTTTCATCGTGTTACGCAAATGTTATGCACGAAGTTAGTAAATATGAAATTTCAATAGGTTCGTTAAATATGAAAACATCCGAAAGATATAATTTTGTTTTTAATTACTAGAAAAGATTTATGGAATTGAATTTAGTCATGAATGTTTTGTAATGTTTATCCGGAAATCAGATCATTTACAACTTTTGTCACAAAATAAAATCTAAAACTCAAACTTTCATTCCCATTTTAAGTTGTCTCAAGTAAAAGACATAAGAGTTTAACATCAAAATCAATCAAATCTGCTTGAATCTAGTCCAATTTCAATTTAATAAATCTAAGATTATTATAATTAATAATTCACTTACCGCTGTTGAGATCAATAACCTTAATTTGTTAATTTCTTGCTAATCTTCCACTTCTCAAAGAATCATATCAGTAGTAATGCATTATTGAAGCCCTTTAATTCGTCTTACTCTTCATCAGATCATTCCAACCTGTAAATCAGAATCAATTCATTTAAAATATTCAATCACAAATAAAACTTTACATAAAAATGTTTTTCATTAATTACAGAACAGCTTAAAAAAACAACGAAAAAAGAAATCAGCATGAAAACAAAAAAATTCCAAACAAATTGAGGAAAATGTAACGCACAAATTGCTTGACAGCAACAAAAACAAAAAAAAAACAGCAACGACAAAAAGTGGAGCAAAAACAAAAATAAATTTAAAGTTACGCAAAAATAAACTTACTTAGAAATTGTTGAACTTATTCAAGACAAGTGCTTAACACGATGAATTCAATTAACAGTCAGACACATGCTCAGTACATTTCGCACAGAAAAGTTCGATGGAAATGCATAGATTTGCTCAAGACATCGCTATCAAGCATGTTCATCATTAAAACATTATTAGTGCTATTGTTATTGTTATGTGTTGTAAATAAAGTTAATTGCGATGATATTCGACATAATCGACCTCCACGTTTCATCATCGATGATCAGCATTCAGAAATTGTGTTGCGTCTTAAGGAGGGACCTGATACGCCTGTTGGTAAGTGTTCTGGTTTATGATTTATGCTTGAACGTGCTTATTTGTTCAAACACGTGTAAGAATAATGTGCTTGAAATGTTTCAATTGCTGTAATAAATAAATTTACTCATCGGTAATGTTTTTTGAAGGTGTCGATGCTGTAAGCTCGATTATTTGTAATTATAACATACAGTTTTGTTGCTGGTGCTCTAGATTCTTCTTCTTATTTTAAAATCTTAATCATAGTAAACTTGATAAAAGCCATTAAAATTCCAAAAAAGCATAAATCACTTGAAAATTGTAGGAATTCAATTTAATTCATTCTTTGGTTCAATCCTTAACAGGCAGTCTAATTTATAAGTTACAAGGATTCGATCCTGATGGTGATTCTTTGGAGTTTGGTATTCAAAGTACTTATGACAGCGATATTATAGTCATAAGAAGCATAAGCGATAATGAGGCTGGAATATACTTAGATAAAGAATTGGATCGTGAGGTAAGTTTGATGAATTTGTGAATTTTAAATTGATTACCTTAATTTTATCTTCTATCACTGGAGCTGATATGAATTTGCCTTTGGAAAGACGTTGAATTTGAATTTGCATTTTATTGACAGAAGATAAGTTCAAGGCAAGCAATTAATGTCGAATTTCAGTTGCACTTTGCTTAGATCAGTTCAGATTAATATGTTTCCAAGTCAAAACATGTCACTACTTTTACTGTTTGAACTAGAACGATTAAAATCCTGTCATATTCTCAACTTAATGTCTCCTTCATTCCAAACTTTCCTATTTGAATCACAGTGAAAATTACAACTAAAATTAAATGAATTTGACAAGATTTCAATGATTACTGAGATGAATTTTCATTTTTTATTAAAAATGTTGATTAATTCAACATATTAATCAATTTCCTCTTCTTCCACATCATGTAGACAAAAGATGCATACACGATAATTCTTACACTGACTGATAACAAACTTGGTGAAGGTCGCTACGTCACACAAAGTTTACTCCTCTTAGTAGAAGATGTAAATGATTCCGAACCAATTTTCACATCATTTCCATCAGCAATAGAAGTACCAGAAAATAGTCAACCAGGAATTCTTCTCACAGTTGAAGCTACAGACAGAGATGAAGGTGCTTATGGACAAGTCGTTTATTATCTTGAAGAACTTGATGGAGAGAGTGACTCACCATTCTCAATTTCAACATCGCAAGGCAAAGGTGTCATTCGACTAAGAAAATCTCTCGACTATGAGCGTAAAAGTCTGTATCAATTGAAAGTTCTCGCTATTGATCGTGCACATCAAGGTCAAATCAATACAGGTACAGCAGCTATTGTTGTTAAAGTCAAAGATCTGGAAGACAATGGACCTGAATTTGTCTCGCAATCCCCGGTAACACGAATCTCAGAAAGCGTTCCAAAAGGAAGTTACGTCACGACTGTACGCGCCATTGATGGAGATCGAGGTGTAAATAATAAAATAAAATATTCCATCGTTCGTGGTGGAAATAATATGTTTAAGATAGATGAAGATACAGGTATAATAACAACATTAAAGACACTAGATAGAGAGGATTCAAGAAATTTAATTAACGGTGCTTATATTTTGGAAATACTCGCGACGGAACGTTCAAAATTAAAACCAGCTCCTTCCGTTAAAACTGAAATTACAATCATACTGATTGACGAAAATGACTCAACACCGCAATTTAAAAGCACGCGTTACGAATGTGAAATACCTGAGAATTCTCAACAAAACACGCCTGTTAATTTCCTACAAATTGACCCAAAAAATGAAGTTTTTGATTATGACTTGGGTAATAATGGTACATTCGAGTTGTACCTTGATCCACCAAACAATATTTTTGACATTTCACCAAAAAGAAGTCTGAATGAAGCAACATTCATTATTCGTGTTAGAAATCCGAAACTGCTTGATTACGAAAAAATTAAGATGCTTAATTTCACTATCGTGGCCAAAGAAATTACACCGGATCCAAAGTTTAGGTATGTAAATTGAGACAGTGTGCAAGGAGGGGGTTTCCTGATTTCTTTAAGACTCCAGCTGGGGTCTACTTCTAGCTACTCCCCTGTTTATATTTAAATTTGACTTAGCACTACTTCATGTCATGTCTAATTTCATTTTAATTTACATACTAATGACAAATTTTCTCTTCTTACTTACTCAGCACTGTACCATTAATTGTGCACATCAAAGACAGAAATGACAACATTCCACAGTTTGCTAAAGAAGCTTACAATATTTTAATTCCGGAGAACATTTCTGTTGGAACAAGTATTGCAAGAATTGAAGCTGTTGATCTGGATTCTGGAAGTTATGGAACACAAGGGATTCGATATACGGGATTGACTGGTAAGTTGGTGTGATGAGTAGTATTGAATTATTATACAAATTAAGACATTTGGGTAAGAAGGTATGATATCGTACCATAGAAACCTAGATCAACTCTAGGCGAACAATAACCACAGCTCTTGGTATACTCAAGGAACCCATAACACTCATAAAGGCATCGAACTTTATTACGGTGAATCCCGAATAGTACAACTCGGTTAATCGAATAGAATTTTGATAACTCGTTTGGAGATACCTTGCAGTGCAGATGTACTTCAGCCACACGCGTAGCTCTGGACTTCAATCAAATTCAACACCGTGCAAGAGTAGCGCCCGCTTGGCTGGTGTCAAATTTTTATTCCGTAACCGACTTGTGCTATTGGAGAATCTGTCAGTACAAGAGAAACTACAAGAGCTAGGCAAAATAATAGAAATCAAGAACTTTTGATGAAGACATGTAATTGATTCTTAATATAGGTGGATTTTTAGGAACCGTTGTATCCGTTTAAGTATCCGTAATAAAGAGAAGGACTTCTCAAACTGTTATCTGCGAGACACTACTAATAAGTGATTACCTGTGTCGCAGTTCAAAAAAATTAAGCACCACTGAGTGCTATGGATATGAAGAGAAATAATAAAGTGTGCCTGAACTTAAAGTAGCCCTGGGTTCATATAATCTCTCTGCATAGCCTTCTGCACTCGACGTTACAATTGCAATTGAATTATGAAACCACTGCCCTATAAATCCCAAAATATTTATCATAAATATACCCAAATTGAATTTCCCAAAATGACTGTCTATTGTCTGCGTAAAAATCAGTTCCATAACAATTCATGTCCACAAATTTCATTAAATAGCTTTCAAAACATCTACTTACCTAAATGTAATCTAGTCACATTTTATTCAGTGTCAAGAACAAACATTTTTTTTAATTTAGTACAAATATTTTCCAGTGCTTTAAATTTTTCATTCTAGTTACTTTCAATCGTCATGTGAATTATGCTTCACATTTATATTCTCATTCATATTTTACATCAATTTTTTTTTGTTCATGCTTCAAAATACCTTAATTAATGTCATTGTTTCCATTTTTTTGTTTTGAATCATTAGGAAGTGTTGCACAATTGCTACATATGGACCCAAACAATGGAGTCATAACAATTAAGAGCACAGAAGGTCAATTTTTTGATCGTGAGCTGTATGAAAAACATTATTTGACGGTTGAGGCACGTGATAATATTGGGGAAGGAAATCGTAATACAGTTCCTTTAATTATTACAATTCAGGATGTCAACGATGAGATTCCGACATTTTTACAACGAAAATATGAAACTAGGCTTTTGGAAAATCGTCGAACATTTGAGACAGTCTTACAAGTTGAAGCACGCGATGCTGATGTAAATGGAACGAGAAACAGTGAAATTTTCTATGACATTATTGACGGTGAATTCCGTCCGAATTTCACAATAGATTCAAAAAGTGGAATTGTAAAATTAAGAGGTCCCATTGACTTTGAGAAGCTGACACTTAGTCACAATAAGAAAAAGACATCTGTTGCTCAAATAAGCTTAATTATTCAAGCTACAGATGGTGGAAATCCACCACTGTCATCAAATGTTCCAGTAATTATTTATGTCGAGGATCAAAATGATTTTGCGCCGAGATTTGAGAGATTTTCGTATGAAACTGCAATTATGGAGAATTTAGAACCAGGAACTCCAACAATGACTGTCAAAGCTGTTGATCTTGATGGATCAGCTCCAAATAATCTTGTCTATTACCGCATCATTGATGGTGCACTTGATAAATTCGTCATAGGCTCAGACACAGGCACAATATCAATAGCAAATGGTGCATCTCTCGATCCCGACTTATCTGATCCAAAACGATTAAATTATTTACTAACAATAGCGGCACTAGACGGTGGAATTGGTGATCAACAGTTGAGCAGTAATTGCATTGTCAATATTTCCATAATTGACGTAAATAACAAGTCACCGGTGTTCAACGAAATGCAAACTGTTTACATAAAAGAAAATACAGCTGTTGGAACTTACGTGTTCAAGTTAATGGCCACTGACTCTGATAATGATGCTACATTGAGATATTTCTTTGACAGTGAAATGTCCGAGGCTAAAAATGAAAATGGAGTGATTATTAAGCAACAGGAATATGATTACATGCAAGGTGAGTAACATGATGGACTTCCTTAATATCAAGGCGTGGAAACTATCCCAAATATCTCATATATCCCAAAAATATTCAAAATTATCCCTGAGTTTGTATGCATTAGAATTGAGATATCCCATCATATCCTGAAATTACACGTCCAATACACTAAGGATACGTTGGGATATATTTACTATCGGGCATACATGCTCAGGAATTTTTTGAATATTTTTGGGATATATGGGATAAATGGGATAGTTTCCACGCCTTGCTTAGTATTAGCTTTGCTTATCATTTGTCTTTTCCTGCAGCATTTGACTTGAACGCTAATGATGGTCTGATTAGAGTCGTCAAAATCTTGGATCGAGAAAAAATTGAAACTTTAAAGATTGGCGTGGTTGTTGAGGACATTGCATCTGTTAATGGTAAGCAAGTGGCAATGACAACACTCAACTTTATTATTGAGGATGAGAACGACAATAATCCTAAATTCCAAAAGCCATTCTACAGACGTTCTGTGATGGAAAATAGTCAAATTGGATCGAATATCTTGAATGTTGTAGCTACAGATGCTGATAAAAATAAGTCATTAATTTACGAACTAGAAGGTCCAGAAGAGATTCTCAATCTTGTGCATCTCGATGCAGTTTCTGGAGAGATTTTGGTGCAGGAAAAAATTGATCATGAAATTTTTGAGTGGGTGAACTTTACAGTACGAGCTATTGATTCTGGAGTTCCACAAAGGACTTCTCTAGTTGATGTTTTCATCCAAGTCATCGATGAAAATGACAATCAACCTTACTTCATTACAGAATTCCAAAATCTTTCAATATATGAAAATCAACCAATCGGAACTCAAATTGCAGTAATTGAAGCTGACGATGCAGATTCTGGAGATTATGGAAAAATCACATTTTTATTGGACAGACTCAGTTCTCATGGGAAGTTTTCAATAGATCCAGATACAGGGGTGTTGAAGATTGCTGATAAGATTGATAGAGAACAGAAGTCTTCCTACATGATTGTTATTGAGATTTGGGATAACTATCAATTTGGAGCAGCAAGTGGGGAGAGCAGAAATGCATTTAAGCAGTTCTAGTAAGTATTTTGATATGTTCTAGTGTCTACCAGATCTGACTAGGTTTGACCATGACTCACACTCTATAACCTTACCTTGATTTTCAATTCAAATTCCAAAACTCATTCACAGCATAAAAATTCTCGATGAGAATGACCAAACACCAGTTATAGAATTTCCATCACAAAAAGAGCCCAGCTGCATTTCAATAACAGAATTCCATGACATAAAAGAAATTGTTACACCAATCCGAGCTAGCGATGCTGATGATCCAACATCACCAAATGGTCAAGTGAGATTTGATCTACGCGGTGGAACTGGAGCTGATATGTTTTATATAAAACAAACTGATCCATGGAACGCGAATGTTTTTGCGAGACACAAGTTGAATAAAAAGTACGGCAATTACTCATTGAATATTGATATTAGAGATTTAGGAAATCCACCGAGATCAACAGACTTGAAACTAGATATTTGTGTGCAAGACTTTAATGATCACGCACCATTTTTCGTATCTCCAATTAACAATTACACAATACGAATTGCTGAGGTATGAATTTGCACAAAGACAATGCTGAATTTGGAAAAAAAGTTTCACGTTTTAATGAAATTTTTTACAGAACGCAACAGTTGGGCAGGTTATAACACAGGTTGTGGCTAAAGATGAAGATGTGGGATTGAATGCACTTATTAAGTATCGACTTAAGCATGATCTCTTTGGGAATTATAAAAGTTTTATGATTGATGAGCATTCGGGGCTGATAACGTTGAAGGTTGTTTTGAATAGGGAGAAGCAGAAGCTGTATGAGGTAAGGAATATGATTTAATACTAGAAGCTACAGTTATTAGTATGTAGAACTGATTAGAAGAGGTTTAGACTTAGTAAAGAGCTAGAAATGACAGAACTTAGTCAATAGTAGTAAAATCCGGATATGCGATTAGAGTTGCATATTAAAGGCTTTGGAACTAAGAAATGGTTGACATTGACTGTACACTGTAGATACCAGTTGGGATTAGTTGTGTCCAAGTACCCAATGACCAGAACCATCAGATTCTATAAGGAAGCTAACCTTTTTAATTTGAAATATGACTTACATACTTAACCAGTTTAATCATCTTCTTACCCACATCCACATGATACTAAATGACCATTAAATATCAATTCCACAGATTCGCGTTGAAGCATACGACCAGGGCATTCCCAAAGAATTGTCATCCGATCTCGACTTAATAATTTATGTACACAGCGTAAATAATTACGAGCCATCATTTTTAGTGCAATCAATTTCTGTCAACTTCACAGGTACTCATGAAATTCTACAAAGCTTAACAGACAATTTTTGTAGGAAAAAAATAAATATTTTAAAAAAATTTATGCGTCACAATTTTGTTTGCTTTCTCATTGACAGAGCATGTCCAGCCTGGTATTGAAAAACGTAAGTTACCTGATACTGTTGATCGTGATGAGGTCGATGACTTGGATGATGATCCAACAACTGTTTGTTACTTCATCATTTATGGCAATGATGACGAACTTTTCTATTTGGATCGTGCGACTCATATTTTGAGTGTGAGGAAGGAACTTGATAGAGAGAAGAAGCAAAATTATTCATTGATTATTAAGGCGACTGAGAACTGTTTGGAGCCACCAATGCCTTTAAATGTGTCTAGTATTGAGATCAATAGAATAACAAGCAGTAAATTGAGGAAAGCTAAGAGCGAGACGAACAGATTCACAGAATTATTGAATCTTGGTCCAAATGACTTGGATGTTGAGAATTACGATGAACTAATGGCTGGAAGTGACTCGTTAATAGCTGATGATCCAACTTTAGTAAAGGTTGTAGTCCTTATTCAAGACATCAACGACAATCCACCAAAATTTACGAAGAAAGTTTTCACTGGCGGTGTCTCAACTTCTGCAGATTTCGGAACTGAAATAATGAAACTTAAAGCTTCAGATCCGGATGTTGGTGTTAATGCAAAATTATCATTCTTCCAAGTCGGCAAGACTCTTAGAACTCTAGCTGAAGGACTAGACACCATCAAAGATCCATCCTTCATAATTGAAAAGGATACAGGAAGTGTGAAGCTTAATTTTGATCCACAAAAAGAAATGAAAGGTTACTTTGACTTTACTGTGATAGTGAAGGATAAGGATGGGTTCAATGATACTGCTCATGTTTATATTTATCTGCTGAGGGAGGATCAAAGGGTTAAGTTTGTGTTGAGACAGCAAAGCTTCGAGCTACGTGAAAGGATTGATCAGTTCAGAGAGTAAGTAGGAATGCTTTAGACTCTAGGGTCAGGCCATAGTTTAAGGCTCTATAGCTGAGTAGCTGGCTATCTGACCAAATGCCTGTAGCAATCTAGATTCGATTCTCACTTTTGATAGCCATATTGAAGCTCTTAATTAATTTTCAATTTTTTGACTTAATGCTTGTGATGCAACAGCTTTAAAAATTCTAATAAAATTACATTCCTTTATTCACAGACACTTCAGCAACATAACCAAAGCAATTGTCAATGTCGATGATTTCAAAGTCCACGAAAACAAAGACGGAACAGTCGATCGTACAAAGACTGATTTATATTTGCACCTAGTCAACAAAAATGACAATTCAATCATTGAAGTTTCCGAGGTGCTTCGATTAGTCGATCAGAATATTGAGAAGCTTGATGTGCTTTTCAAAGAATTCAATGTACTTGATACACAAGCTTCTGAAGCCTTGGTATTGCAAGCTGAATTTGGGAATGCACAAATGATTATCTGGCTTGTGATGATTAATTTAGCAATGGGAGCGCTATTAATTATCGTCATTACGTTGTGTTTGTCACAGCGTACAAATTATCGTCGAGAGTTGAAAGCAGCACGAGTCAATTCGTACGGTAAGTGATTGGATATAAATTGTATATTATTTTCTCTATTTAAGTAAACAAAACTTATCGTTAAAGTACCAACAGATACTGGCAAAATAGCAGCAGCAGCAGCAGCACGCGTACCAAATACAAATAAACACAGTACGGAAGGCTCAAATCCAATTTGGTTAAAAGCATATGAAAATGAATGGTTTAAAAATGATGATAGCTATAGCCAAACATCATCGACCGGTCACGATTCATTAGACGAGAATGTTTTAGTAAATAATGATTACGATGAGAGTAAGTTAGCGGATGAGAATTTCATAAAAACAATATCGACATCGAAGGAATTTAATGGACTACATACTCAGAATAACTTAATAAAGCATCTTAATATGTATCAGCATATTGAGAAACTTACGAATGGTACGATAATTGCTAAGAAATTGGAAACAACAGAACTGTAGATGTTGTTGTTGTTGCAGCCATAAATATACATTCTCCTATTTATATTCATACTGTGAATTTTATCCATTAGTGATGATCAATTTAGGTTTTAAGCAGTAGTGCTTCTGGAACTGAAGTGGATTTTTTTAAAAAACCGATTAGAGCCAAATATTTTTTTTTTGAGAGATTTAAATTTAAATGGAATTATGAAAGTGATTACCACAAGAGGAAGTTTAAAACAATTGGTAGCTTGTTGCATTATGCAAGCTAATCGGTCGTTTAAAGAAAAATTATTGATGTGGAAAAATAACTTCCTTGTATTTTATTGAATAAGTTTAAGGATTTAAGCAAAACTTTAATTTTGTATTTTTAGATAATTTATTTTGTATATTAAATTAAATCGATACATGTATAACAATTTTACTATTAGATACATTAAAAGTATGACTTCAAGATTCAAGAACTTGCATTCCTATGCTAAATAAAAATTTACTTATATAGATAACATAAGAACATACTAGAAGTGAATCAATAAATCTTAGGATATGATCTTAAATTTCTAGTTTAAACTAGAATAATAAATCTGTCGTCTCGTTATTAAGAACCACATGAGAGACAAGCAATTGACATGCGGTAAGAATTGAAAAATCCTGCTACCTGCATACTCACTTCCTTTGCAACCAATGAGCATCGACTGTATTCTTTTGTAAAAACTTCAACCAATTATTTTTGCAGATTTTTAAAATCTATTCTGTGGAGCATAGGTTGAGAAGTACTGCATTAAAGGTTTAAAGGGGATTAAGATACCCAATTGGTACAAAGGAGAATAAACCCAGAATAGAGTCAGTGTAGCCTACATTGTGTGATATACCAGAACACCTCAATCATGCCAGATTATTTTATTCCTTGGGACAATGAGCAATGCTTTACAGGAGTGAGAAGATAAACACTTGTTTCCAATTTCACAAAAATTTCGGAATTTTATTTAAAATGCTGGACATGTAAGCGCTTTATATCTGTAAAAACAAAATCAAATGATAAACGCACATGCCTAGTTTATTGTGAATAGTGTGTTAAAATTATGCTAAGGAATGTAAGTCTTGAATTTGTTCCATAATCGATGCTCAAATAATAATTTTAGTAAATATAAAAATGCATAAAATTTTATTTCAAGCACTTTAAATTGTAAGAAATCATTTAAGGTGTAAAATTACATTTTAACGAAATTTTATCGAAATTGTTATGTAGTAAATTGTTTTGGAAACCTATAAAATTTTGTAAATTAATAGAAACCATAGAAAAAGTTAATAGACATCAATTATTTAAAACAGAATCGAATCTGGAAAAGAACTAGCAAATTACCAAATAAAAATTGTATATTAAAAAGCAATTGATAAGAACCTACAGTAAATGTACTTAAAATTATTATAAGTAGAAAAATTTTAAGAATAAAATCGACTATAATTAAATTTATCTGTTTCTACTTTTATTAACAGCACAACCTTAATGCATTACTTTAAACAAACTCTTATTTTCCTCCTAAAATATTTCCAATTTTGTGTATGCGCTGTGAATAGATGCGATGCCCAAAAAAAGCACACAAAAATTTTACTTAAAAACCAGACACACTGAGGTAGTCGAAAAAAGTGTGTGTGTATTGGTGATGTTGCTGTTTGCCTTTTCGTTTCATACTTTATACATTTTAGGGGGGAAAACGAATGTGAAGAAATTTCATTTTGTGTTATGCCGCCGCTTCAGTGTATCCAAAAACAAACGTTTGAAAACACAAAAAACATTTTCATCGTTTCCAATCGCTTACATTCTGTTCTCCTGTTGCGATCGATTTGTTATAAATGAATCTTTTCATTTCCTATCAGTTATCGATTAATTTTCAATAACTTTTCATTCTGTTCAATATGTTTTGATGTTCTTCGGCTACAAATGTTGCATGGGGAAAATTGATACAGTAAATTTGGTGTTTACTGAGGAGAAAGATATTGCTGTGCTCCACAATTGTTTGCTTCGTTCTTAATGTTTGTGTTTGTTCTGTTTGATGTTGGATGTGGTTGGAGGGTTTTTCTGATTTTTGTGTGACAATTCTCGTTGTCATTTATAATATATATCCAAGGCTATTCCCTATGATGCATCCTAGACCTTAACCTAGGGTCCATTCCAGACCACACCTTAAAATCCTCTCAATCCAATATCCTCATCCATAACTAATCAATTGCATTCTACAGAACAAACTGCCAATGACAATAACACCAAAACATTAATTCCTTGCAGAGGGAAGTTCCATATCGAAATGAATTTCAATTCGCAGACGAGAAGAAAACGCTGCACGAAAAGAAATTCCCGAGGAAACAATTTGATTTGGAATGTAACGAGCGCGCAAAATATTGAAGAGAGAGAATGTGCTGTGCTGTGCTGTGATGTGCCTCGACGTCAACAACGAGAAAAGAAAACAATGAGTTCAGAAGGAGGCGTTCATAAATGATGGATGAGAAATAAATTTTGAGGGCGGGGTTTGGAGATGTGCGTCCATCTACAAGTTAAATCATGTGTCAGGCATAGGATGAGGTAATTTTTGACAGACATTATTTATGAACTAATCCCTAGATGTCGGTGATTGGGGAAAGCAAAAGCAGTACATTGACTCTCTCGTCGTGAACACATCGTATGTGTTGCTGCAAACTTATGAATGCCTAGTAAATTTGTTGTTTGTGTTTAACGTGAAATGAGTTACATGGAGACTCAATGTTTTTGTTCTCTTGTGCTGCCGATGAGCGTTCACGACGATTGGGGCTTAAAATGATTTCATATGAGCATTAGTACTATGATACTCCATCGAATTTTGTCCGTCTGGTATTATTTCAAATTTAACCCAAAGTTATACGTACTAAGTGGCTTGTGGCACTTCTCACAAATTCATTTTTTCTTTCGTTTCTTCTAAGTGAGAGAGGGAAAAGTCACGCGTTACGGCTATGAAACAAAATTTATGATTTTCTATTGGATTTGCTTTGGTGCTTTGGCTGCTCCAACGACTTGACGATTACACCATTTTGTTTTCTCCTCGTTGCTCTCTCACCAAAAAAAAAAAATATATATTTTATTTATTATGACTTCAAAGGAGATTTAGAAATGCGGAATTGTCACACAAGAAGAGCTTAAAGTCATCATATTCTTGGATAATAAAAAAATCCGACCTCGACGATATTAAAAAAAAATATTGCAATAATTCTCATGTATGTATGCATGCATGCATATATCCCTTCATATATGATGTTAAAAAATTATAATAATCAACAAAACTAAAGTTTTTGTATAAATTGCCATAGAAAACTATCGATTTTTCATTCTATCTTTCTATCCATCTGTTGGCTTCATTGATTGCCAAATGCAACCGGTAATAGCACAGCAATGCTCACAATGTGATGGCGAAAATTTATTTGATCGTGCTGTCGACCAACTAGTGAACGCCACAATGTATTTCCTCCAATTGCGAGCCAGGTTTTTTCGAATTGGAAAATCGAATTTTTGTTAGTGCCACTATTTTATAACCAATATTTTTCACCATTTTACCCAGTTCTCATAAGTTTGAAGAGTGTTGTCATTTCTCTCATGTTTTGTTTGTTTTGATAAAAAAAAGTCGTGTCGTACTTCTGTGGTTCTTCATGCGATACGTACGGAATTGATAGAATTTTATACAAATTTTTCTACAGCTTATGGTGGATATAGTCATGCAAAAAATTATTAATTATTTAATTTTAAATCCACAGCTTATAATCCATAAAAATAAACATCAAAAAAAAAAGTTCAAGTACATTTCATGTTCACAGCGTGCCTCTCATGACTCAAAAGCTTTTTTAATTAAACCGAAAAAAGTAAAAATGTGAGAAAGAGCAAGTCATGTGCACTAATAGTAAGTCACGCGATGAGACTATTGAAATATTTTCAAAAAAGCAACTTGTTTGTATGAAACTAGCATCATGCTCGATGTGCTGAAGCCCTATTCACTGCACAACTATAAAAACTTCAAGAAATAGTTTTGTAGTTTCGCAACAATAGAAACTACTCAGTTAAAATATTGAAAAAAAGGACAGTTAAAATTAAAAAAGTTTCTTGTTGAGTAGATTGTCATGTTCTGTTCCGAGTAAAATCGAACGAATTTGCTTCGCGTAACGATAATAAAAAATTTTAAAAACTGTATTTTTTCATTTTCGTTCTGTGTACGATGCGGTGTGTTGTGTGTTTTGTATGGAATTAAGTGAATTTAGATGTGCTGTGGCTTATGAGAGCCGGATGAAAAATTCAGTAACAAAATTTTGTTGGAAAAGAAAATTAGCAAAAGAAGCAGAAAACTTTACAATAAATATTGTTTTCGAGTTATTTTAACTGAAAATAGTCGACATTTTTGAATGAATTTAGCAAATTGAAAAGAAACGTTCAGAATTTGTTGCTTCAAATGAGTTTTTACTTTGTTGAATGCCTGTTCTTTTTGCGTGTTTGATGCTGCTTTGTTGCGATTTGTTTGAGGAATTTGCGAAACTCCTGTAATTTGTTGAGTTTAATTATTTCAGTCGTATTGGCTGTTGTTTTAATGCAGGAATTAAGTTAAAAATTTTCAATCTTTAGTGCTGTAGTTCGCATATTTTCTGCTTGGCTTCTTGAATAAAATTTGATAAAATTTTAACTTAATTAATTCAATTAATTCCAAATTTTCATCATTAATTATTAATGTCAGCATTTTCTTCTTGAATTCCCTCATGTGATAGGAAATGTTGCCTTGAACGAGACTTTCCGATATTGAAATTGAATAAATAATCTCCATGACCTTGATTCAGCTTCTTCCAGTGAATATGAATTCTGAAATATTTTCAATTCTAGATGCAACAATTCTCGATTTAATGAATTTTTGTTAACATAAAATTCGACATTAGCGAAAGGCTTTAAAAATAAGCTATAAATCCATTTTAATATGTTGCATATGAATCTCATTGTGAACATTGATAGCTACTGAAAAATTGGTATTTTTATATGACGATCTGTTATTAAATTAATATTGCTGATCTTGTTGATTAGCTGCTGAAAGTTGCCAATTGACTATTTAGAGTTCTCAAGATCAAATAACTGGAAGTTTTCTATTACTGCTGCTCAAACACTCTTTTTCGGTTATAAATTCTCCAGAAATCTTTATTGAAAACTTCTAATTCACACTTGTATGAAAAAATTACAAAAAAAACCCCAGAAATTAAAAACTTGTTTGAGAATTTTAATTTGATTTTTCTGCCTCAAATTTACAACTTAGTATATGTGTTCTATTAGTAATCAAACTGTCTT